GCGATCTGAACACAAGTAAGATATCGTTTCAGGCTTCCACAACGCTCGCTTCGCACTCACAAACATAACCCATTTAGCACGAACTGCGGGGTCCTGTGGAAATCTGTGCATGGTGACACCATCACCCGACCCCTAGGAGCAATTGACGACAAAGCAACGATTCGGCATGTCGTCGTTCATGTCGAGAAATCAACAAAATGATGAGCGTGCTACACACTTTCTATACAACTAACTGAAAATCGTTCCTCATATGACGTCACTGCAGTGCTCTGGCGACAGAGTTACGTAACCTGTCTGTGGTTTCGTTGGCGGGCGAGAGGGAAGCAGGCGACTTTTTGGCCACTTTTAATCGCTCGGTATTAATTAACCACAAGTTTTTAAAGAATAAATTTGGTGTTCCGCATAAGACTAACCACAAATCTTTCATATGTAATGGTTAAAAGAGTAACAAAAAACAAAGTTTAGTGGTTCTTTAAGGAGTGATATTGGTCTTTAGGTTTATCTTGTTTGGGAATACATGTACATGTTATAAGGCCCTGTTTTGGGCTTACCGAAAGTTCACCTGTTTTGAATGCGTGATTCAACGAGTTAATCAAATATTTGTTAACATCATGCCAAAAGAATTTGTAAAATTCTGCAGTAAATCGAGATGGTCCAGGACTTTTATTGTTTTTCGTATTTTTAATAGATTGAAGGACTTCTTCATACGTAGTTCGCCTTCCAGGCATTGAGATTCTTCTTCAGTTATTTTAGGTATAGTGCAATTTTTAAAAAAGTTCTTCAAGTTCTACTTTTATTTCTTTACTAGTATATAGATTCTGAAAGTAATCTTTGGTATGTTTAATAATATCTTTAGCTTCAAATATAGTTCCATGTGCAGTTTCTAATTTAGCAACGCATTTATTTTGAAAGTTTTGTTTTTCAAGTGACAGGAAGAATTTCGACGGTTTTTTCCTGTTCATACCATTTCGCTTTCGATCTTAGTATAATGCCTTCTGTTTCTGATCTAAACTAGAAATGGCCATTCCTATTGCCCCCAGATTGTACACGATATTTCAAATTCAATTAAAATAAAAAAGAGAATATATACTATCCAATAAAGAAACGCATATGCCTTTTCTATTTTAGAAAATCTATTAATTACCTATTGAGTTCAAACAATCGTCAAAATATGTAACAAAAGTGTTGGATAAAATGATTTTACACAATTGCGCAAGTAAAGGAGGTTCAAGGTCAAATGACTACGCCACGTCTTAAGATAACCAATCTTCTGTTGCCAGGCCTCTGAATGATAGTCTGAGCATGATATCACGGCTTGCAGCTCGTTACAACCAAACAGGTATAACAAATGACCGTCCCCGTACAGGAACACCTCGAGTCACCACTGCAGCCCAAGATCGGTACATCCGGGTGCTACATTTGCATGATCGTACTGCCATGGGTGAGAGCACAGCAGCCAGGGTGCCTGGACTTCGGAGGATATCCGGTCAGAACAGGTTGAGAGAGACTGGACTGAGAGCCAGGAAACACGACGTCGGGACCGTGCTACGTCGTCAACATCGCGCTCAACGTGTCCATTATCTAAAATTATCCACTTGGTTGTATAGACATTACCTTCTTCTAAACTTCTAAACTGATGTAAAAATTCATGCACTAAAGTCTATTTGTGGACGTGTTATACATGTTCGAAAATACAACATTTTCACAACAGATTTCTGGTCTATGCGTTTCCTTTTTGGGATAGTCTATTTAATTAACTCGAACGTAAACCGTTATTAACTCATTAAGCCCGAGAGCCCCATCACTACTCAACACCTGGAAGCCCTCGCTGATTGCCCACTCTCTGTGCCGAGACTAATTAGTGCTAGTCACACCTGGTTTCCCTGGCATGTTTCGGGGATCACAGGAAACTGTCTAGTCTTACAAACAAGTCATGATTGTTTAATTGTGTCGTAAAGATATATGTTTAAAGAAATCAGGTGTGACTACATGTCGTGTATTGCAAACTTTATGTAATTTTATTGCAAGTTTCTCTTGTAGACCTTTTGTCGGCTTGTACATTTATATTTTATCACAATATGCATACACATGTATTCTTTGTATGTAACGGATGAGACACACGTTAACAAATTCTCTCTCTTATATCATTGTGTGAGGTTTAAATTTACAAAACATCTATGACAATGACATACTGTAAAGAAGAATTTACTTTCATACTTTATAATCTTCGACGAAAATAGCGGTTTTGCCGATACATTTCTAGTGTTTACGAATTATTTTAAATAAAGGTACTATAACGCTAGTCTGTGACTAGCACAAAGCACATTCATAGCATTGCACTTTATTTCATACAGATTTAATGCAGAAAACATACGTGACCATACAAACATACATATACAAAATGTATACTACATATTCCTTGCATAGACATAAAACAAAGATTCACGTGATAGGGCGTCATCAAATTTCCCGAGTAGAACGTTCGGTATCTCAACTGTTCAATGTTATGGCTGGTCATATGTTATCTGCGACCAATCGTATCATGAGATACCTGTCACAGAGGAAAGGACAGGTGACGGGGCGTGGGCGAAATTTCTGAAGAGCACGTTTGGTCACTCAGCAGCTTGGATAGAGATTGGTTATTGGCTATATCCTTGACAGTCGATATGCTGGGTTTCGGCTTTATCAACTCAAGCTATCATGTAACAGTTTGTGTATTGTAAACATACACACTGGTAACGATGTATGAAATATACACATAAGACAAATAGGAGTAGATAGTCACTTTGGCGAGTTTATTTGTCCTCGTTTTAGTGTTTTTCAATAAGTAAAACAAAGCGATTGAAATCCAGCCACTGAGTAGAGGTAGTATTTATTTTCATATACATTTTATGCACACAACTAGTACATAAAACATAATGGTTTGCTGTACATGTAAATATAATCTTCACCTTGATACGAATGACTATCCAAACTAGAGTACACGCATTACAGAATTCACGAGGTGACACTATACTGAATTATTATAGTGTATAAACTTGCAATATTTATGAAGGTGGGCGTGCCTATATCTTTACTGAATGCAAACGAGGTTCATAAGATTACAGATGTGCATGCATCTATGAACATCACAGAGAGGGGCGTGACTCCATTAAGCGAGATGTCCAATGATATAACAACGCATCTGTTTATTTTACACTTGTCACGGGACAAACCTTTCAACAAGGACGTAACTACATATGCATTCTACCGGAGGCTGTTATTTCAAGGTCGAAAGAGGCGTTCAATTATCTCATTACTGTAATCTGCTTGAATGATTATACGCATGTGTATCGATACCGTAACTGATATACTATCCAGCTTTTATTGACGATGGATCAATAGAGACTGAGTTGATTGATACACGTGATAATTGCACCGGATTTGATAATTACACAGATCAAATACAAACGTTTTACAGAATGCTCATGTAAATTGCATAGAAAACTGACAATTCAAATCAACATCAAACTTTCAACAGCTTGAACAAAAATGCTTGAAATACCTTTGTATGGCTTACATGTAATAACTTATGATATTACTTCTGTCCATGTGTGACAATGTTTTGAATTACCAACTTACTGTCTTTTGTAACAAACGTACTAAAACATTTCATTATTGTAATAACACTGACATGTATATATGTATTCGATGCAAAGGCGCGACTTATCACTTTATATTCGCTTAGGTAACATTACGAACTTTAGATTATGGAAAACAACTAGTTACAATTCAGTAAACTTCAAATTAGTAAGTTCAATTATGTTTAATCTATTCGAGCTTGGATGTATAATTACTTGTGTTTATACATTATGTTTCAGTATATGAAACATGACAACGTAATGATGCCTAAAAAGTAAATTAAAACTATTCTATTGTGTTTGAATTCTTTGTATGTCCTTGAAATTTCGTATATTGTTTCCTATTTATTAGGTAGTTGAAGGAAATATATTTTTTAGTAACCTCTAGACCATTACATCTAATTCAATCAAGGTGCATACGAAGTATTTTAGTATCCATTCCCAAGGAAGAGTACCAGGCACTTAACTCCGTAAAAACATCATAATCCCCTTTTTCGCCGACATGCGTTCATTTGCTAAACGCTGTACAAGCCTATGATAATGATTAGCAATTGTTATCAAAACACTGTAAATACTTCTTCTGATTGATACTAAAGGTGGGATCTCTCGTAAGAAAAGCTAACATTTGCTCAGTACTGCTAAATTGGTTGAAATAATAGGTACAGTGCGATTTTTAATAGTACAACACACATGTGCGTCTCTCGCTGAATAAGAGGTGCTTTCTGTTGACGACTGTATGTGGCTCTCGCTGTGAGAAGCTGCTAATTACCTGCCCCATAAACACGTCACTCGCTGTGAGGAGCTGATTAATTTGCCCCATATATGCGTCTCTCGGCCTTAATGAGTTAAACTGTTTGTCGTTTGTTTTCTTGGTAACGTGCGTCTTGAGGCAGGTGGCCAGACACATCAATAGAACAGCACGTCAGTTAACCCTGAACGAGGATTGTTAATTTAGGTCACCAACACCGTCGTTTTTCTGTTTGTTTTGTGCCATAGATTAATCGTTTGTAAGCAATACATTTGGAATCTTAGAAAATAAATAAGTTCGCTCTACCCCCATGTGTAGTGTAATGAAGTTACTGTACAGTTTAACCCTGAACTATTATAACGTTAACGTTAACGTTGCTTTTATTATGATAGTTCAGGACAATCTCCTATTTATTACACTATACATGGGGGTGCAACTGTATTTGTTTAATATATACCAGCGTGCATGGTGTATGGTGAATAAACGGTGTCAGCCCGATCTGTCGACAAATGAAAACTAGGATGTTGCTAATCGTCGACAGACCAAAAAAACCGGAGCATCGACATCGCGTGCTCAACATACCGTGACGGTGTTAATTAGTGAAAGAGAATGTTTGCTTAGTGATTTGCAAGTGACCATGTTCGTTTCATGAGTAAATGATTTACGTTAATTATAGAGAATGTCTTTTTAACAATTTGTAAGAGAATTAAGGTTGCAAACAAACTATTATTTTTAAATACGTTATGCGATTGGAAGGATTACCATTTTGGAGTTAACATGCAAAAAAAATACCGGAAAGAAACAGAGAGCTTACAAATTATTTTGTGATTTTGGGAGTAGAAGGATTATTGAAATGCTGTTAAAAACATTTTTTTGATACATTTGGATTCCGTTACTACCAGCTGGGTAGAAGGTCCATGGACTCCATGGAATTATTTTGAAAATGATGGACACGGAACTAACAATAATTTGGAAGGTTGGCACAACAAAATCAACAAGTATGCCATAAAGACACATCCGAATGTGTTTGAGGTTGTGCGAATGCTGCAAAAAGAACAGCCAGCTACTGAAGTTCAGCAGATCCGAGGACAGCAGAGATCCCGTCCGTAGACGTCGCTACCGAATCACCGACGCTAGGATTCGGTCCTTCTTGCCAACAGACTTACTGACTTGAACTACACAGACCATGTGTCAGAGTTGCTTCATCTTGGCTGAACATTACAGATTACTTTAGTGCAGATATAAAGGAGTTTTGGCAAGAGGAAATATCTGGACTCATCTTTTATATATTTATTGCTTATACACATGCAGAAATCACTTATTTCTATAACACACACACACACACAGACACAAATATATATATATATATTGTGTGAGATTTCTGAAATATATATACAAATATGTTATATTGTGTGACATATGATACATACATGTTGTTATATTGACTAAATACATGTAAATATATTGTCTTCTATATATATCACTCTGTTTTAATTGGTTTGTTAATTTCGAGAACACTGGGCGTGAATTCACTCACGTAGAACATCATCTCCCTTTCCCCGGACTGTCGACAAGTAATTTGGACGGAATATTTGTTGTTGTCGACAGTCCGGGTATAAACCGAATAAACAGTGGACATTAGTAAGGTTGATGTCCCCTGGAACACTTACTATCCGTTTGACTCAAAAGCGGACCGATAAATTGCAATCTAACTCGAAAACTAATATTAAACTTATAATACTCAATGAAACGCTGATCATATTCAGACCAACTCTGTGATTTATTTTTGCAGAATTTATGTCCTAAAAATAAAAAAAAACTTGTTTAACAAACTATCATTAAAATATTGACACAGTTCACTATTTGTTACGAGAGACTGCATAATCATTTCTGAGACCGTGATATTACGTTCACCCAAGCTGGAAGGGGCAGTGGGGTAGCCTAGTGGTTAAATCGTTCTCTCGTCACGCCGTTCGATTCCCCACAAGGGTACAATGTGTGAAGCCCATTTCTAGCGTCCCCCGCCGTGATATTGCTGGAATATTGCTAAAATGAAACTCATTTGCAGCTAACGCTTTAACCACTAGGCTACCCCACCGCCCCAAAGCATAGAAGTTGAATAACAAGACAATAAACTCACAACAATCGCAATCCCCTCTGTTTGTTATCTTGACTGCCCCGATTGTGTAGTATCCTTCGAGGTCGACTTGCCACCATGGATGCAAATCTCCGAGTGCAACAGAAAAACAAGAGTCACCAGGGTGCCAGTCAGGATCAGCGTTACCGTCAACAGCCCGAGCTGGCGAATTCCGGAGGGAACTTGCAGCAGTTGGTTTTTGCAATGCAAGGTTTTCATCTCCTAGAAAATATATATTTTTAAATAAAACATTTGATATTAGATGTAGATAATTTTCAACAGTGGACATTAGTGAGATATTGACGTAAGAAAAGATCAAACGGTTCTTTACAACATCGATAATGGGATTGTCTGGTCCTAACTCCATTATTTCCTTTTTTAAAGAAAATGTTTCATTATGTACTATGCAAAGTTTTGGAGCTCTGCGTGGCTTGGGAATGTGCAAAAGTATTTGACTAGAGTAGAATTCCTTAAACTAATATAGGAAGGCATACATGGTACTCAGATAGACGGGATACTCGGATAGTACAAAAAGGACAAAGTCTTTGTTTTTTCTTCTTCCATTTTGTTTGTTTTGTTTTGTTTGGGGGATTTTTGGTTGTTTTAGGTTTTGGTGGGATTTGTTTTGTTTTGTTTTTGTTTTTGTTTTTGTTGTGGGTGGGTGTGGGTGTTTTGTTTGTGTTTTGTTGTTGTTTTTTGTGGGGGTTTTGTGGGGGTGTATTGTAAATTCTTCCTATGTCTGTCAGTTCCTTGTGACTAGAACAGCAAAATCTAATAAATGTATTTCTGCAAGTTTCTGTAACGTTAACAGTTTATAGATGTTCGCAGTTAAGCGTATCCTCTGTTGTACAATAAACTTCTAATTCTTCAACCCATGCTTGTGGTAAGAGGCGGGATCGGGTGATTATGCTCGCTGACAAGGTTGACACATGTTATCGTATCCAGACTCGATTATTTACAGAACGCCGCCATATAGCTGGAATGTGGCTGAGTGCATTGTTAAACAACAAACAAACAAACCCTTTTCTGCACTGTGATACTGAATTGTATACGAAAGCTTCAAGCATTGCCGTCCTGTAACAGGGGTCTCAGCCTAAACCTGTTTATACTTACATTGTGAAATATGTATTTAGTTTACATCTATTGACGAAGCCTCTAGCTACTTTATTGGTGTAGGGTCCTATCATACCTTATGAAACTTGGTTTCCAAAACCACTGGCGAATAACTTTGGAATATTGAAAGGCAAGACAAGTTTACTATAAGTGATTATTGATATATTCTATATCTGGCGAATCGTCAACTCCCGAAACCGTAAGTTAAGACAGGTAAAACGTTTGCATCAAAACCGTGGAAACAAATATCATGTCAGAGAGTAGCCACATACATAATTTACCCAAAGATGACTGTAATATTTTAACTTTCTTCCACGACTTTGTACTGAAACTCTTTGGGTTCAAAACCAAGATAACTGCACACCCAAATATTTATAACTTGCTACGATCTCGAGGTTCGAACTACACGTTCCACACGTCCACGATTCATAATTTTGCAATACACTCCCATTTCGGGAAATCAATAGTAAATGGTTTTACTATTAATTTACTTCCATTTATCACAAGATGTTCTAAATCAAGTCTGGCGCTTTTAAAAATTCAATAACAAACACGCCCATAAAGACATCAGCGAATAATATAATGAAGATTTCTAAAGCTCCCATGGTTACCACATGCTGGCTATCATGATTTACAACGTCTATGCATGACATCGTCTGTACAAATAGACAACAAAAAGCGCGATAATTGGCATCCCTGTCTTACCCCTTGTCTTTGTTTGTCGGCCGGATTGGTCATCGATCCCCAAAGTTACAGGTATGAAATCCTGTCGTACTTCCATTAATTCGCCAAAAGCCACGGGGTATGGTGTTCCAACACAAATTTTTGTTTTGTTTGTTATTTAACATCTCAGGTAATGTAAATAATCGAACCTGGACCAGACAATCCAGTGATCAGAAGAGGTTAAGATGAAGAAACTAATGGTGCATTAATAAATGCAATTAGAATGTAATTAGAAATAAATGTTACTCACCAGATAAGGAACACTGTAAGAATGTTCCCAAAAGTATCACGTAAATAATACAGAGTGTTCCCATGTTTTGGGCTCACGTTTGGAGAAGTATGTTATGGTGTCAGTTATGAGACGACAAAGCGAACTTTCTGAAGGAGACAGTAAAGGTTGACCTGACATCAGTACTGTTGTGCTGTGTCTGCTTCTGAATCCCTTGAGAAAACTAATCACCTGGAGCCACTTCCTGTGACAGGACGTGAAATACAGGATAGGTTTTCTTACATGATCTTTATTTTCAGGATCGTAAATGTATTCCCAACTGTCTGTGTGTTTACTGCCTCTGGTATGAGAACAATATGAATCATTGATCGTGTTAACGGTGTTAACGTGCCTAGTGACAGCATACAATGTACATAACAGACAACTGGAATAACATATGTTGTTACATTGCTGCCTTCTGGATACACATGAACAGTTGAGACAAAAACTGGTATTATCGCCTCTTCACAGACTTAGACTTGACAGGGACTTGAAATAGACCGCAATACGCTGGTTATATAGCAATGCGTAGTTCGATCCATGACAACTATCTCCAAGATTCAAGATTCAAGATTTTTATTACAGTACTTGAGGCCTCCTGCCCAAAGTACATGTGTTTCTGAACAACCTCTTTCACAAAAGGTTTACATAAAAGTGCATGTGACGCAAGTACAATATAAATAGTGAAAAAGAATGCAAGAGAACATTTCAAAGAGCTTTAAGCAGCATATGGAATATATTATGGACGCTTTAGTCACTGTCGATATTAATGTTTATCCCCCTTAAAATGACTGTCAGCCAGAGGTTTTGCTTTGATTGGATAAATAGTTATTTAGGTTTGCTTTGTATATAAACCTGAGCAGAATATTCATAGCCTTTTCTGCTTGCTAAGAAAGGGATGATAGGGCTAAACTCCATGAAAGTTTACTTGAGAAGAATACTCCTAAGTATCTGTAGGAGTTAACAACTTCTAGCCTTTCACCTTTATAGTACCACTTCTAAACTGTCTCCTCTACAAAGACTTGGACGAATCCTTATCAAACAGACTTCTTAATGGACGTTATTATTGATCTGGATTCTGGGCATCCCTGGGCATACATGTAAAACCATTGATCTTGTTTGTTACAATTTTGAAAATCAGCATAAATTTATAGAAACGCGACAATGCGAAAACGTGACATTTTATGTTCAGTGATAACTCCAACGGGGTAAACTGGAAAAATGGATTTGAATTGTTGCTAACGTCAAGTTTCAAAGTAACCATTGAATCACTTTTCTCAGAAAGTATACATATGTCCAGGTGAAAACGCTGAAATCACAGGCTTCGCATTTGACTTCGCCCGTAAACAGGAATTATTCATTATTACCTGTATAATCTTTGCGTTCCAAATGTTTTCCTTGAGTGATATGAAGATTTGTTTGTCTCATTTTACCGTCTTGTGAGTCTAAATTGATATACATATGGTGTTTATGCTATATCTGTCCATCATACACAAATAACATTAAATGTATGTACACAACTGAATGTGTGACACGATGATGGATCTTGACACTGTGAATGATAATTAACATAACAAATCCACACGTTCGTGTTAAAAAATCTCTCAGGTGCTACCTCGATTCCTTTCCACACAACAAACACCTGTCAGGGATTAATCGCCTCAAGGTATCGTAAGTGTTGTTACTTATCCGACATGAGTTTACATAACTTGCGGTTATCAAATGGATGAACAGACAGAAATAAGCCTTAAGGCGATTGCTATTGTGTTTTTACTGGTGTACGTCGGAAGTCCTTAGGGATGCGCAATATAACCGGTTTACCGGTTCAGACATGAAAACGATACGTATTGCGATACGCTGATCGAAAACCGGTTTTTTTACTTGCATTCAGAAAACTTCGTAACGCTCGGAAATCTTCGGATATTTCCTTGTTTCATTTGTGCCAAATATTATTTACATATTTATTTTGTCATGATTAAAAGTTTCTAATAAAGCTTAATCAAGCATTGTGATTTTGTTGTGTTCATGCTTTATAAATCAAGCATTAACTCGATTATACTTCTTGCAATATATTGCAATACATATCGCAATATATGCTTTCGCATCGCAATATATCGCAATATGAAAATTCTCTGCAATACCCACCCCTAGGAGTCCTTGTGAGGATAGACGCCTCCAGCAACAGGCACGAGTGATCAGAACGTCCGTCATATAGAGGTGCTGTTGCTGAGTGCGATGCTCAACAAAATTTGGTAAGGCAAAATACAGTAAATGTTCATAAATGTTCCCTATTATCATTCCACTTGAAAATGGTTCCATAGTCTTGTAATGGTGCTTGACGATACGTGAAAAAAATGGCCTCAGCTGAAGCTGAGTCTCTTGTCTGTTTGGTTGGGTTGAGCTTCTGTCAGTAGTGGTATGTTTTCACGTTTTACTTGCAGTGCAATGGTGATGACAAACAAATGAAAATCTGTCGTTTTCAAAGGCCAACATTTCATGATGAATGTTCATTTCTTACTGGCGTATTTGGGCGGGACGCTCCCAAGTAGTTGCGTTGCCTCACATTTTCGGTATAAGTCACACCAGATTGTTTTAAATACTTCTTTGTATCAAATCTATAATGTTACATCTACTGAATAGTTTTTAGTCTGTGTAGGGGGTGAGAAGCGGTGTCGCAGACTTATTGAGTGTAACTTTACACCATATTTTGAGTGAGTGAATTAAAATTTAACGTCACCCCGGCCATATAGTGACGAGAAAGGTCTTGCATACACAATTAATAGAACTTGTTAAATAATCAGTCATCGAAGGACTGTAAAATAATTTGAGTGAATGAGTAAAAATTTAAAGTCACATCGGCAGTATTTCAGCCATATCGTGACTAAGAAAGTTGTAAATTTATAAATGAATAAAAATTTATATAATATACTTACCTGTCTGCAAAGGACAGTAAAACACCTAGATTATCACAGGAATAAATTTATGACAGGTAATTAAATCTAAAGTATTTTAACCCTAAATGCCAATCCAGTATAAAAACAGGCTATAGATTGCCAACAACTGAATGTAGATCACCATACTAGTGAATGGGTGAGTTTAGTTTTACGCCGCACTCAGCAATATTCCAGCTATATGGCGGCGGTCTGTAAATAATCAAGTCTGGACCAAACGATCCAGTGATCGACAGAATGAGCATCGATCTGCGCAAATTGGGAACCGATGACATGTGTCAACCCAGTCAGCGAGCCTGACCACCCGATCCCGTTAGTCGCCTCTTACGACAAGAATGGGTTACTGAAGATGAATATTCTAACCCGGACCTTCACGGGTAATCACCATACTAGGGACCATGGGGTCTTACAGTACATTTCCTTCCTGCATGAGACCTAGATGGCTTTGCATCATCCCTTCAGTTGTTAGCAATAGTAAAATATCTAGAGTATCACAGATGGTGTCTAAAACTAGCACGGGAATCTAAAACTATTTTATTTACGAAGACAATACAATATAAAAAACAGGCTATAGATCACCAACAACCGAAGGCAGATCACCATACTAGGGGCCATGGGGATTTACAGTGCTTTTGCTACCTGCATGGACACCATATTTTGAACAAAATGTCTCAACCTAAAAGAGAGTACTGCGGGGTATATGTTGCATAGGGGAATAGGTAGAAACCTTCAAACTTCAACCATCAAACAACGTATTCGTTTGTACAATGTATGAGTAAACTTCTTCAAACATCGCTTCCAATAAATTTATTTGCTTTATTAAAACAGTTTTTGCCTTACTAACATGTGATAAACGAACTTTGCAATCTTTAGAATGGCAGACACATCACGTTTATACACGTCCTAATGACCAGGACCCGGTTGTATCAAACTTTAATAAAGCTTTAATCGTTAATTAAACTATGATTAGTTAATCATTGATTATCTTCAGTTGCATGAAACCCTTAATAAAGGAATCCCTTCATTAATCCATCATTAAGCTAATGAAGGTTTGGGGGTATCATTAACTCATCATTAGCTGTATCAACATGGCAGACGACATAATGTTCCATCAACTTGGACGTCGGAGAAAAGAGAAACATTTTCGTGAACGGATAAATCACTTGGAAAATATGAGCAACGAAGAAGTCAGAGCGAGGTACCGTTTCGGTACTGAAGCGATACAGTACATCTGTGGGTTGATTGGCGACAATCTACGTCCTATGACAGCGAGATCTAGAGCACTGAGTGTGGAATTACAGGTACGCCTAACAATGATTAGTCTATTAAAATATAGACAATTTTCACGAAATACACACTGTCACACACGGAAAGTAACTAAGTTGAAAACAGTATTTATTGACGAACTGAATCTACACTTATTAATGAAAAATGGATATAATTACTACTCACAAATAATATATATTCCTTTGGGGAGAGCAATAGTCATGTCTTATCCAGTCTATTTTAATGATTACATACCCAAACACCACTCCATCTGAAAATTATCGTATCGCTGTCCAACAACAATGTCAAGGCCACTGTGATAAGGGAAGGAACTCTTGTCAGAAGTCCTAAAGATACATTCAAAAGCGTACGAAATACTTAGATTATTGAAAGTTTGAATTTATTCCAGGTGCTAATAGCACTACGCTTCTATGCAACTCGCAGCTTCTTGCAAGTGATTGGCGACACGTTTGGAGTGGAGATATCTACTGTGTCAAGGGTTGTGCGAAAAGTTAGCGTAGCGCTAGCACGACTTTTACCACAGTTTGTTAAATGGCCTACCGTGGAAGAAAAGAGTATTATAAGAAAGGAGTTCTATCGTCTTGCTAAATTCCATGGAGTAATAGGCTGCATCGATGGAACTCACGTAAGAATACAAGGTCCCTCAACAGACGAACCAGCTTATGTAAACAGAAAAGGATTTCATTCTATAAACGTTCAAGCTGTTTGCAATCATCAAGGTACACAATGTGACATATTTACGAAATTCAAACGTACATCTATTAAGCATATAAAATACTAAATCACCTAGGTTGTATGGTAGTGGTGTGAATAATAAGCTAAACGGCTTGTCCACCAATCCTAATTCATTTTATTGACTCGAATACGTTTAAGCCCAATAAACAGATTCGAAATATTACGTAAACATTTCAAGGGAAAGTAGTCATTGTGCGAATAAATACATTATATATTTTCACCTGTTCATATTCTCTACAATGTGAAGAGTATATATTGATTAATTATGATACATTGTATATTGATACGTATTTACACATAATTTGTTACTGTTTTATCAGGAAAGTTCACAAATGTAGTGGCAAGATGGCCTGGCAGCACTCATGACAGTCACGTTTTCAAAATGAGTCAACTTGGACAGAGCATGCAAAATCAGAAAGCTACACTTCAAACAGGAATTATTCTTGGGGACAGCGGCTATGCTTGTCGTCCATTTCTTATGACACCATACATGCGAACTACTTCTGAGGACCAAGAGAACTTCAACTCCGCTCACAAAAGGACGAGGGTTACAATAGAGCGCGCATTTGGGTGGTGGAAACGCAGGTTCCACGTTCTACATGGTGAAATCAGGCTGAGTCCAGAGAGCATGTACAATCATAGGTGATATGTTAAAAACATACGTCCACATTAAAATTCGTAAATTTCCCAGTACCCTTATTTCCCAAATCGACTGTTTAACCCCTTAACAATGGTTGATGAACAATTTTCCTTCATTGAATGTTGATTGGGTTCCAACTTGGTATGTGTTTGAGGTATATATCTGTCATTCTTAGTGTAGAATAAATATGAGTGCTAATAGTATCAAAGGAATATCAAACCTAAATCCCATTTTTCTAATTCCACATGTCCAGGTGCTTGTGCTGTTTTGCACAACATCGCCATCGATCTCCGGGAACCCATGTGCGAGACGGAAGATGGGGAGGAGGAAGAAGGCGACTTCGGCGCTGACTATGCTGGCCGGGAAGACGGACGAAACATAAGGGAATTCATAACAAGAAACTTCTTCAGTGCGTTGAAACTTTAATCAATAACTATGTCTTACTTGTTCAGTCAGACATAATACGTAGCACTGACATGTAGGTCAGCACTTGTAATAATCACAGTGGAATACATGTAATACAATCACATTATGATCATTAACATTCGACTAACTCCTTCCGCAACTTCTTATTCATCAACTCGTAGTAGGTGGTTTCAGCGATCAGTTTCTTTTTCTGCTCCAGGAGGACCTCATACTGGAGCTGTGTGACATCATCAGGCTTCACTTTCCTCTTGGAAATCCTCGGTCCTTTCCCCCTAGTAGATGCCGTTGTTAGAAAGGATTTGATTTGTTTCGCTTTAGTTTTTATTCCGCTGACCATTCCCACTTTTCAATTAGAGGTTCAAGTTTTAGTAGTTTGTTTTACAAGATGGCAGCCTCCATGTAACCAACTGCTGCCATGTGCTCTGAAATAAAACACTTGGAATAACGAACAGACACTTCTTTTCATGGTCCCGCGAGGCGGATAAGTTGCCAGATGGATGGAAGAACACTGACCCATGTCTTTAGTGATGAATCACTATTTTCCAACATGGATAGACTAACCAACTCAGTCTCCCATGCAGTTACCAATAGCATCACGAAGACAACCCCAATCCAGACATCAACGGTGACAACCTCCACTGCAATTGCCCAAGGTTTGATTCAGAGTACTGTGCCTTTACGTCAATCCTCACGAGAGAGACATTTAGCTAACCATTTGACAGATTATGTGTTAGATCTCCCAGGTGGCAGAAATATAGAAACGTCCGTTCACTCAGTGGATAAGCCTGATGATTGCAAAACTAAACACTCCGTGAGAACCAGAACTTCAAATGTGTCCAGGCATTCAAATATGTCAAATGTGTCACTTAACTCCAAACTAAGTGATCTCCAATCAGCAGAGTTAACCAGACAGAGGAGACAACTAGAGTTAGCTGAACTAAAGAGACAGGCTGTGGAAGATGACAAGGTTGATGAAGAAATGAGGCTATTAAATGATAAAGCATATTTGGCTCGTGTGGAAGCAGAGGAGGAAATGCTGAAGGCTCGAAAGAGAGCAGAAGAGATTGAACGTTTGGTGATAAGACAGCGTGAGAAACGAAATACGGAGCTGAGTAGACAACGCAGGGATCCGTGAGGCAGAAGAATTCCTTAAAGGAAGCAGATCTTTTGGCATCCATGATAGGAATGGGTTTGAATCCTTCAACTGCAGTAACCACTTCCACCACTATTACCTCATCACCACAAGGTCAACATACTGTAATGGCGAATGTTGGAAACCGGGTCAAACAAGACAAAGTTGTTATCAAGACAGAGAAGTCTGACCAAGAGGTGAATCCTTCCACTCTGTTTTCTGTTGAGAGTACCATGCCTGTACCATGTGAGAGGAAAACCTGTGTAAAACATGATGAGCCAGCCTTGCCACTGAACATAGCTGCTGAGCCATTCCAAGGTGCTCCAGTTCACCCACCTTCTGGAGGTGCACCCTTTGGACCAGAAACTTCTGGTACACCAAGTTTCCCTCATGGATATGGTCCACCTATGACACCAAACATGACTGAACTTTTGATTTCGTTAGGTCATATGGGATTCCACGGCCTACACTGCCTTTATTCGATAGTGAGAAGGAAAAAGACTTTGCTATTCTCAAAATGGCCCTGGATAATCTGGTCAATGTCCATACTCATTTAACTGAACAGTACAAGTATCAGTTGTTGCTTGATAGACTGGGTGGAAGAGCTAAACGTTTAGCAGAGGCATATATGTACGCACCACAGCCTTACTCTGAAGCCTTTGAAGCCCTCAAGAACAAGTATGGTCAGCCTAGCCAGTTAGTTCAAGGAGAGCTTGGAGCAATTTTGAGTATGCCTTTCGTAAAGTTTGGAGATAATGAGGCATTTGAGAACTTTGCCCTCGCTGTACATTCCCTGGTTGGGATGTTGAAGTCTCTCGAGGGTGACAGTTGTGCAGAGTTACAGTGTGGTTCTCATGTGGACAGACTGTTAAGTAAGCTACCAATGAGTTTAAGAGACAGTTTCATCGAACATTGTATCAAGACGGGTGTGATAGGGGAGCACTCAAGTCAAACCTATACACTTTCTCAGTTTAGTCATTGGCTTCAGATTAAATCTCAAGCTAGACGTCTATCCGGTCAAGTCAGCTCATCATATCATAACGATGGCAACAGACCAGACAGTGGTAACAAAGCCTTGAACATTGGTCGATTCAGACGAGTACAACCACGGAAAAGTGAACCAACAATGATGACCAGTTTCCATACGCGATCTGACTCACGAAACCCAAGTATCCATGCTCCTACACCCAGTACAAAGGGTAGGGATGAAACAAAGGTGATGACCAGGTTCAGGGCCTACTGCCCTTACTGCTCTTCCTCAGAACACTATTTGAACTCTTGCAAGGAGTTTGAGAAACTCTCATTGGACCAAGTTGTCAGTTGGATGAAAGAAGGGAACCGGTGCTCGAAGTGTGCACGTACTCACAAAACGGTAGACTGTACACTCAGGAAAGTGTGCCACACCTGCCAAGAACTGCATTTGACTGTCCTCCATGATGCAGTTAACATGGTTAAAGCCCAAACTAACAAGGTATATTCAGTCATAGCAGAGAAACCAGCGGTTTATGTTGACCAACCCTCCAAACCATGTTCTGTTATGTTGAAAGTTGTGAAAGTTGTCCTCCATGGTCCAGGTGGTCGGATGGAAACATATGCTGTCCTGGATGATGGGTCACAGCGAACTATGATTTTGACAGCAACTGCGGAAAGGCTTAAACTCTGTGGTAGAACAGATGAAATCCTCCTGTCCACAATTAGGCATGAATCTTACCATTGTACCGGGAAGAGTGTCAACCTTTCCATATCACCAGGTGACTCTCCACAGATTCAGTATCCTATATCAAATGCCTTCACATCACCTTCACTCTGCCTCTCAGAATACACCTATCCAGTGAAGGATTTGCAGGTTAGATGGCCACATTTGAGAGATTATCCCCTACCCTCAATCTGCAATGCACAGCCTGTGATTTTGATTGGTTCGGACTATGCAGACCTGATTCTCCCGCAGGAACCTGTGCGCTTTGGGCCCAAGGGAGCACCAGTCGCTGTACATACGCGACTAGGCTGGTCTTTACAAGGCCAAGCAGACATGCACTTATCGCGGATGTCACAGACAGCTGAGCAGTGTTTACTTACTTCCAGTGTTCACCGTGATCCAGAACCTTGGAGTAATGTTGAGAAACTGTGGCAGATAGATGCTGTTCCCAATGGAACAAAGGATGTGACCAGGTCAAAGCAGGACAAGCAAGCTTTAGAAACTTTAGAGACATTCACAGAAAGAGTGGAGATGTATGAAGTAGTACGCTATGCAACACCCCTGTTGAGGATTAGAAATGGAGTTTCACTTAATGCCAGAGTAGAATCTGTGACACAGAACCTCATCCGCACAGAAAGGCGACTTCAGTCAAACCCTGAACTAGCTTACGTACACAAGGACGAGATCCAGAAATTGGTAGATGCTGGTTATGTGAAGATGATCAGCCCTGAAGAGGCTGAGAAAAGTGATGAATCTTGGTACATTCCACATCACATTGTACAGCACAATGGAAAGAATCGTTTGGTGTTTAATTGCTCGTACAACTATGAAGGCAGAACCCTCAATGAGAACTTACTTCCTGGGCCCCAACTTGGATCATCCTTGATTGGAGTCTTACTGCGTTTCAGACAGCACAGCATAGCTATCTCCGGTGACATAAAGGCCATGTTCCACCAAGTGAGATTACTGCCAAAGGACCGACCCTTACTACGATTCATCTGGCGCAACATGGACCAGACGGTTCCACCAAACATTTATGAATGGCAAGTGCTTCCATTCGGCACTACTTGTAGCCCTTGCTGTGCAATATATGCGCTGCAGACACATGCACATGGTCACAAGGAGGAAAACCCTGATGTGTACAGATCAGTCACCACAGCTTTCTATGTAGACAACTGCTTAGACAGCGTTCCAACTGCAGCAGAAGCCAAAGATTTAGTACATGACATGAGTGCTTTGCTGGATAAAGGTGGCTTCCACCTCAGACAGTGGATCAGCAACATTCCCTTAGTCGTGGCTGATCTACCTACAGAGGACAAGGCAGCCAATTGTGAACGTTGGCTCAGTCTTGGCGAGACAGGACTTACGGAGGGAACCTTGGGACTCCAATGGCGAGGTGACAGTGATGTGCTTGGATATAGGATCAAAGAGATTAGCCATGATTGTCTCACCATGAAAGTCATATATCGAATCTTGGCCAGCCAGTATGACCCCTTAGGATATTTAACTCCTTTCACCGCAAGAGCGAAAGTCATCGTCCAAGATCTGTGGAAATTGAAGAGAGATTGGGATGCACCTATTGTGGAGGGAAGTGAATATGAGAAGTGGTGTTCATGGGAAAATGAGCTACCAGACATGGAGAAGGTTAATCTACCACGTTGTTACACACCTCATCATGTCGATACTACAAATTCAGTTCAACAGCTGCATATCTTCTCGGATGCCTCAGAACGTGTGTATGGTACAGTTGCCTCCCTTCGGACAGTGTATCAGGGAACGGTTTACGTCAGCTTTGTACAAGCCAGATCCAGAGTCGCTCCAAAACGACAACTTTCCATACCTCGACTTGAACTATCAGCAGCTCTAGTAGGAGCACAACTTGCAGACATGCTGATCAGAGAACTTACCTTACCAATTGAAAGAGTCACCTTGTGGAGTGATTCAACAACAGTGCTGTCTTGGCTGAAATCTGATTCATGCAGATATAAAGTATTTGTTGGAACCAGGGTTGCAGAGATTCAAACTCTAACCAATGTTGCGGACTGGCGGTACGTGAACACAAAAGACAACCCCGCTGATGATCTTACTAGAGGCAAGACCCTGGAGGAGCTTACAAATTCTTCCGCTTGGAAGAATGGTCCATCCTTCCTTCTACGATCACAAGAAGAGTGGCCACCTGACATAGTGATGAGTACCTCCATCAAGGACACGAGTGGTGAAGTCAAGACTACCTTTTGCGCAATGTCCATGACTGAAAACTCAACGATTCCAGATGTGAGCAAGTACAGTACCTGGAGTCAGTTTGTTAGGGATACCATGCAGATCCTTAACGGGCGGCCAAGGACCCACAATTACCTTTTGATTGGATCAAAACAGAGATGTTCTTATTCCGTAAAGTCCAGTGTGACTCCTTTCCTGAGGAACTCGGTGCCCTTCAGTCTCATAAGAAGTTACCAACCGACAGTCGACTTGCTCAGTTGGATCCTATCTATGATACTGACAACAATGTTATCCGTGTTGGAGGGAGACTGCGGAAGGCAGAATCTCTGAGTTGCGATGCCAAACATCCAGTGGTGTTGGATCCTCATCATGAGATCACTCAACTTATAATCAGAGACTTTGACGAAAGACTGTTGCACTACGGTGCTGAGCGAATTTTGGCCGAAATCCGGCGAAAGTTCTGGATTCTGCGTGGCAGAGAAGCCATACGTCAACATCAGCGTAAATGTGTCAAATGCAGAAAGGGCCAAGCTCAACCTCAACTTCCCAAAATGAGTGACTTGCCTTCTTCACGATTACGTTTGTACAAACCTGCCTTTTACTCCACAGGAGTGGATTGTTTCGGGCCGATGGCAGTCAAGATAGGACGGCGCACAGAGAAGAGGTGGGGAGTAATCTTCAAGTGCATGACAACACGTGCAGTACATCTTGATTTACTAGACAGTATGAGTACAGATGCCTTCCTGATGGCGTTCCGGCGCTTTGTGGCTCGTCGTGGCAAGCCCCATGAACTCCTCTCAGATTGCGGCAGCAATTTCAAGGGTGCAGAAAGAGAACTGAGAGAAACTTGGATGACCATGGAACAAAGTTTAACCAACCAACTAGCTGGATGCAACGTGAAATTCAAGTTTAATCCCCCCTATGCTCCTCACTTCGGTGGAGTATGGGAGAGGGAAATCAGGTCTGTCAAAAATGGACTGAAGGTTGCATTGGGTGATCAGACAGTATCAGAATCTGTGCTCCAGACGGTGTTAATTGAGGTTGAAGGAATACTTAATTCAAAGCCACTAGGCTATGTGTCTACTGATGCCAAGGATGTTGACCCCATAACTCCTAACATTCTATTGATGGGACGTAGAGATGCATCCCTTCCACAGGTAGTGTACCCTGCTGATGAGCTTCTTGGTCGGAAAGGGTGGCGCCACAGCCAAGTGTTAGCTGATCAATTCTGGAAACACTTCGTGAAATATTACCTACCAACCCTACAGGTTCGACAGAAGTGGCAAGGAGATAAACCTGACCACAACAACTTGATGTGCAATGATGTTGTCATGATTGCAGACCCTCAGACCGTTCGTTCCTTATGGCGGGTAGGAAGAGTAAGCAGGGCTTACCCAGGTGATGATGGGAGGGTTCGATCTGCAACAGTCTTTGTCGGAGACCAGGAAGTTACCAGACCGGTGACCAGACTCGTACGCTTACCGGAGTGTGCTGACAGTGATGTAAAGTGAATCTTTAAGTGACAGTGATGTAAAGTGAATGACATTTTCAGTTTATATCAAAGCAAATTTTGTCCCAAAATTGGGGCAGCTGTGTTAGAAAGGATTTGATTTGTTTCGCTTTAGTTTTTATTCCGCTGACCATTCCCACTTTTCAATTAGAGGTTCAAGTTTTAGTAGTTTGTTTTACAAGATGGCAGCCTCCATGTAACCAACTGCTGCCATGTGCTCTGAAATAAAACACTTGGAATAACGAACAGACACTTCTTTTCAGCCGTGACTCTGAAACACGTCAATATCACTGCATTTTCTGATTTACACTAACTTACGACATGTATATCAGTTAACCTACATGCCATAAATATTTGTCATACTAAGGAATAAAACATCCCGTCATTCTTAATTTTGTGATCATAACTATATATAAAGGTTAAACTGCTCTTCCTGCCAGTAGCAATAAATATAAACTGCATGGTATTATTGAAAACTTGAATAAGGGAACTATTACACCTATATATCTACATACCCGTCTTCGCACAGACTCTTGCTCTCCACGGAGGACTGTAAGTTGCCTTTAGCTGCAATATCAGCGGTGTAGCTACAACTTGGCATCTCTGCATCAAGCGATGGGACGGCGACATCATTATCCTGTTGCTCCTGCAACACGCGACTCAACAAGTCCAACGTTGTAGGAGAGCCATGGATCTCTACACTTTGAGTTTCTGAAAATAGATAGGAATTTTGGTTTGTTTTTTTAAATTAGATATAAAATATGCCACCCTTCCACAAAGTCATTGAAAATAAAATAAAAATGACGGATGCAAATACGGACCCGAGCCAAAAATATTTGCCACTTAACTTAATTTCAATAGACTTACATGTGAATGTAGTGTAGAAAACACAATTTTTATTTAATTAATTCTGATGGAATCGGAAAATTCTGTCGAAATTATGTGGGTGTAGCTGAGATGATTACTGTGCTCACTTTAATTAGGACCCAACGAAAATTAAATTCATGGAAAATATTTATGCTACACGAAATTAACATACCGTATAAGTCTCTGGAAATGACATCACATTACTAATACTGTTGACACAGGCCTGTATTTCCTCAAGCGTTTTTTATTTGATGTAATAACATTACGAGTTTTCGATGATAATTCCCTGAAATATTCTAAATTGTAAAGCATAATTAATAATAACAGCAGCGTCAAATGCGTCTGTCTGTTACTAACTTTGCTATATTTTTGCACAACCTTTTTAATATTGTCGCTTCTTAAATATTTGCATTGTGAGAAACATAATAGGAAGCGTATTCAAAGTGTAACGGGATGGGTTCCATGTACAAAAATAGTAACAGGGGGACTTCACTCTTGTGAGAAAAGAGTGAACGGCCTTCACATTGATTTGGATATTCGTTGAAAGAGGACGCACGTTATGTACAGCGGGTGAAATGTGATTGAATAAAGTTCAACTGCATTGTACAGAAGGTAAGAATATGAAATGAAACTGTCCGCCATTTCGACATTATGGTTTGAAGTCGCAAGCTAGCCTATGTCTTCGTCTACTTGCTATTTTGTTTTAATACTTGCATCGACATACATAATCTATACTAACATCAATCAAAATTAAAATGAATGATCTCTATTATCAGTTTGTAGAACTATTTACCTTGCAAGGGAACAGGAGATGCCACACCGTTGAAACATGCGGAATCCGAATAAATATCCATGATTTTCTCGATGGAAGAGGAAACAGGCTTGGGACATGGACCGCCACCAGTTTTTTTCGTTTGAAGTTTTCTATCTGAAAACTCTTTTTTTTGCATTTTGAAACATATTATTCCATTTTGTCTTGATTTCTTTGGACGTCCTATAGCTTACCCCAAGGCTATTGATCTCGGCCGTTATTTTGTCTCATATCTGCTTCTTTTTGTCATTAGTTATGGAGTTGGTAAGTTTGCTGTTTAGCACACCGATGTGATCTTCAACTAGATCTGTTAGAAGTTGTATTTCACAACTTTCAAAGTTTTTTGCTGCGATTTCTGACGGCAGCCGTGATGCAGACGATCGATGAGTGTTTACATGCAATGCATCATGGATAATAATTAGGGGATTCCCCTAAGTTAATCATGGTTTAATGACGGGACCTTTATTAGAGGCATACTTAGTTAATGGGTGTTTAAATAAGGGTTTATACAACCGTATTTAAACACTTCATTAACTAATCAAACATTAAGTATTTAATCAATGATTAGTGTTTAATTGATGATTACATAAGTACGTGTTGATACAACCGCATCCGATATATCTGCGATCTCGTTAGAGATGAATTACAGCCACAATCTGCAAGATCTCACGCAGTGAATGTTGAACTACAGGTGAATGTTTCATAATTATTACATCGTTATTAATATCTCAGAAACGTTAATTTGGTTCAAAAACATCATACTGTTCATAGCGTCATATCCCAGCCTCCATGGACAACCTAGTTTTGCGTATAATTGCACACTACCGTGCGTGCTGGTACAGACACATCTGTTAACATATTACCCAGTATATAAAGAAACTAACCTTGTGAATATAATTCACGACTGGAACTCTTGAAAAAAGCATGGACCAGTTTCACTTCATACCAGAAAGGATACGCTTTCAGTCAGCCATGATGAATGTAATAAAGGGGAGTCACTCTAAAGACGTGAAGTAAATGAATCGTGCACACTGAAGTGAATACTTTTGCGTGTTCGATCCCAACCTTGAGACGTTGTTATTATTATTGAATCATACACGTAGCCATAATTACCACTTTACTTACTGAAACGCAGCGAAATAGATAATAACGTTGATATCAGCTTTCTAGAAATATATAATTTTTGGTGAAGCGTGTCATAAGCCTCTGTTTAACCATTTTATCAGGTTCTGGTGACTCTACGCTTCTTTGCAAGCGGAAGTTTCCTGCAAATCACTGGCGATACAATAGGGATAGACAAATCAACAGCTTCACGAGTTGTTAGGAAGGTTTCACTTGCCATTGCGTCTCTCATGCCAAGATTTGTTACCTGGCCGTCCGAGAGTGCTTCTGGAGACATAAGAAAGGAATTCTACAGTCTATCCAGATTTCCTGAGTCATTGGATGCATCGACGGGACACATGTTCGGATACAGGCACCATCAGACAACGAACCTGCCTATGTCAATAGGAAGGGTTACCATTCTATCAATGTTCAAGCGGTGTGTGACAGCCAAGGTGCGTTAGTGTTAGGATAAATTATGAACAGATACCATCGTAAGCCCAGCGCATTTCATATAAATGTACATGTCTTTCCGGCCTTATAATAAAGAAAATGCGTTTCGAACATGACACCATTTACAATGATGATCGAAGTGAGCGTCTTAAAACAACATTATGATGATAAGCTTTCAGCATTTGCTTTTTGAGGCCGAGCTCAGCACTTTTCTAGCTATTTCGCAGTGGTTGCTATATGCACTTGGTGCAGTGATTCCACATAGTTATACTAAAATTGATCGTTTTGTGTATTTGTATAGGTAAATTTACTAACGTAGTGGCGAGATGGCCAGGCAGCACGCATGACAGCCACGTGTTCAAGATGAGCAATGTACGGCAACACCTTGAAACTCATCATACCACTCTACAGGATGGTGTTATTCTCGGTGACAGTGGATACGCATGTCGTCCGTATTTGATGACGCCGTATCTAAAGCCATCTACTCCCGAGCAAGAGCGTTTCAACTCTTCACATAAACGAACACGGTCAACTATAGAACGGGCATTTGGGTGGCTCAAGAGGCGTTTCCATGTTCTCCACGGAGAAATCAGGATGTGCCCAGAGAGAGCTTGCACCATCATTGGTTAGTATACTTACTACGGACAAAGTTTTAAAATAAAGTGAATTAAGAAATTAAATACTGATAAAATATTTGGTTTTAAAGCCTATTAACAGGCCTAGACAGCTAACACAGTGCAGCTTTAAGACGAATCTCATTATATTTGACAGGTGCTTGTGTCGTGTTGCACAATCTTGCGATAATTCTTCGTGAACCCATGCTGGATGTTGATGCAGAGGACGACAGTACCATAGAAGGGCAATACACAGGTCCTGAAGATGGTCGAAGCATCCGCGATTACATCACAAGACACTATTTCACTCACTGAAATGTTCAATCTGCCAAAACTGTAATATTACACTTTATGTTCTATCTGAATAGTATATTCAACTGTGATGGTGATAACATAGTTCGCAAGTGCCCACAAACTTACAATTAGAGAAAATGTTTGGACAAAATCTATTGTCTTCAAAGGAGTATCGTACTCCGAGCTTTGTTTACCCTTGTGTTATATTACAGTATAAATATATTTTCCTGTGTGTAGTGCCAATTTCACCTCAACGGTGTCAACTCATGGTTTTACGAGGCTTTTAGCAATATTCAAGCAATATCACAGCAGGTACTCCGGAAATGGGCTTCACACATTGTACCCATGTGGGGAATCAAACCCGGGTCTATGGCGTGACAAGAGGACAATTTAAACATTAGGCTATCCCACCGTCCCTCCATCCTTTAAGAACATCCGACAATCTATATTAGTAAAGTTCAACTGACAAGATACGATGTAGTTTTCTTACTGCAAAATAGAGAACACAGTGTAGCAAACTATGGAAATAACTGTTGAAGGAACTGTTTTAATATTTCAAACATGAACTTGTCTTTTTCAGTTATCGCTCATCATGTAATCCAGCTCCATTCTGAGCTTCTTGTTCATTAGTTCATAGTAGGTTGTCTGCTGCATAATTTTCTTCTTCTGCTCAACCAAGACCTCATACTGAAGTTGGGTGAGGTCATCCGCTCTGATCTTCCTTTTGCGGGGGACATGCCTGGAAGTATCCGCGGTCGGGATCATAGGCCTGAAGTCAAAGAAAATTGCTTTGCATCTTTGAATATAGGGAACATACAAGTCCCCGTATGTATGCGCTGAGTCTCTCCGCTGTATATGGTT